TTCTTTGTACCACAGATGCACTAAAATCCTCTTTCTTCCTTGTTTCTGATTCAAACAATCCAATCTTGAATTCACAAATTCTCCCATAATAATTAAAGTATTATTTCTTTCCTGGAATTCAAAACTACTGAAATCCTTGGTTTGTTTTTCTGAGCAGCACTAAAATAGGCAAAAAATCCTTGTTGGGTTTTGTACCCAGAGCCATCAAATAATTATTTTTTTTTTTTCCTTTCCACACTCATTAACTGTTTTTTGACCTTAATAATGCACCTGCATATTTTGTCTTTTATCCTCCTAGTTCTTGTAGATCCCTCCAACATCTTTTCTTGTTTGGCCAAATAAATCTGAATTATTTCATCAGATCTGCCTATTTTTGCTCCTGTTGTTCAGCACTTTCCCTGAGCTCATTAAAAACAGCTTTAAACCCAGTCACCCTGGAATAAAACTGGAGTTTCTCCCCTGAGAAACTTTCCCTGTGTAGAAAAATGATCACTTCATTTCTAACTTGTTCTCTCTTTTGGTAGCTTTGTAATCAGTAATTTTCTTTACTCATCTCTCTGTTGCCCCACACACCTGGAAACTTGGCTGGATACACAAATGAAACAGAGGAAAAAAAGGGGAAAAACAGGCTTTCAAGTGTTCAAAACACGCATTGGTTACACAAAACTGCTCAAATATTTGTTTGTTTTGTTTTTCATAATCAATTAAAATGGATATTTAAGGAAAGCTGAATCACACATTAATATTTTCTATGAATAATTTGAAATTATTATGGTTTAATATTAATGCAGTCATCCTTTTCTATGTTTCACATTGCAAGTAGCCCTTAAATACTACCTACAGATTGCTCAAAATTTTTTTGGTGGTCATGGTATTTTCTTCTTTAATTCCTTTATTTTTTTTCATTTTTCAGGTATTCCAGTATTTAGGTATTTTTTACCCTTTCTTTCATTATTATTCACTCAATGAAAAAGACATTAATTACATTTCCAGGTCAAGTTCTTGCTTGACTTAAATATGTCATTACCTCATTCTTTTAGGCTGACACCACATTCCTTACCAATATTCCCTGTTTTACCTGAAGTTTGTTTGAAAACTTTGAGCTGAAAAGGCAAAAATTGCAGGAAAAACTATTGTACAGAGAATTTAATCCTTATCCTCTGAATGGAGCAGATTCCCTGCTCAGGAAAATAATAACAATCATCATTATCATTATAAGTCAACACTTTGAGTGATGTTATTCCCAAAAAGCCCAAATTTTTGAGGCAAAAAAAAAATTAAAAATCACCAGCATTTTTTCATAAAGTTTGATTAGTGCCGACTCACCAAGATGTAAATTAATTCATTATTTTCCTTGGCCTCTCATGGACACTTCCAAGGTCAAATCCTCAAAACCTGGAGGAAAAAACTAGGACATTTGAAAGGCAGTCAGGAACTGATCATCCATGTCCTGCCATTTAGGATGTAAAAGTCCATATAATTTATTCAGATACAGAAAGCTCACATAAAATAAACATGAAATGGAGGATAAGACAATTTTCCTGCTATTCCTCTGTGGGTTCTTCTGCCCTTTTCAACTTTCAGTGTTTTAAAAGAGTCAATTTTATACTTCAGTGTAGCCAGAAGTTTGGAAAAGTCCCTTCTGTTTGTTCCTTCTCACCCAGTTGTTTTAACATTAAGACTGAGCTTAATTATCTCCCAAACATATTCAGAGTTTTGGGGGAATTTCTGAAATATATTTTAAAACACTTGCACGCTGTGATGAGTAAGAAATTCTGAAATTTCAGAACATTATGATTTTCAGTAAAATCTTTTTCTGCCCTGAGCCAGCAGAAGCTGAAAATCCTTGAGAGCTGAGTCTGACGAAGAAAAGAAGTTTAATTAAAAAGCCACCTCTGCAAAATGAACGTCACCTTCAAGGCCACAGAGGCAGAGACAAAATGAAACAAGGCTGGAGGTAAACACAACATTATATATATATTTTTTTATTATTATTTTTTTTTTTTTTACTTTATAGCCACAAGTTTTTTACCATGTTGTGGTGAGGGAAATTACCCAGCTTTCCACCAAAAGTTTACAGCACAATAAAAGCGGATAAAAAAGCTAAAAACAGCTGCAAAAAGAAGTTTAACACACACAAACACACTCACAAATCCAAGTTGGGCAGACAAGGCAAAGCCTTCCAAGAATATTACATAGTAAGTTGAGTACTTCCATGCCACGGATACAAGACCATAAATCTGTTTTTATAGGATGAGTATTTAGGGACTTTAGGAAGCACCAAACTTTCCTGCAGTTTTATCCATTCCCTGAACACCAGAGCACTTCTCACGGATGTTACCACTAAATTCTCATCTAACATTGATTGATATATAAACTGGTTTTATGGGAGAGCAGCAGCTCCTGAAAAAGAAGGGGAGAGAGGGGGGGAGTGAGATAGGACAAATATCAAGCGATATAAGAACATCAGTCAAGGCAGGCACGGAGTGCTGGTGACTGGCAGACACAAGGGATGTGTGGTGCTACAACCTCAGCACCAACAAATGCTCCAACATAAAGTGGAAAATTGCTGTTTTGTGGAATATGACGGAGTTAGTGCCGGGGAAAGGTGAAAGTTGTGGAAATAATCAACCAGGGAAGGAAGAGCGAAGCCACGTGGCAGAGGAAATGGTTGATATCTAAGATGGAAAGGGTGAGAAGGGATGGGGGTAGAAAAAATGTTTGAGCATAACCTTAATGCAGATGCCATGGATTTGTGATTTCCTCTGTGAGCTACGAGGATGTTCCTTCACCTCAAAGCACACATAGGGTAGAACTCTGCATATGTGAAATGTCAGTTCATGGCTACTGAAGAGACATATTTATTGTTTGCATGCATTTTCCTTACTTCCTCCCTTCCCAGTCCTATCTACAAGCAAAATTATTCAAAAGATAAGAAAAAATGTCAAAGGGCAGGAATTACATCCCCTCCAGTGGGTGCAAATTGTCTCAGTAATTGCTTGGACATTTGCAAAGACCTGCCAGAGTGGGAATTACCTGTGAGTGTGGCAGATTACAAGTGTTAATTAATGGGTTTTTTCTGAGGGGACTGTCAGACTGAATGGACCCTTTACCTGTCAGCTGGAAGAGAAAACCCTTTTCATGTTCTGTTTGTGGTGTCCCAGGAAATAATATATTAAATATGTGGGTTTAGACACATGATTCTCATCTACTTGCAAATGGGAAGTATTTTTCTTGAATTACTACTTGAATTATTATGTCACTGTTGGTGCCATAAGTGCATAAAACTTCTTAATTTATTCCCATTTCAGAACAAACAAGCACTTTCACAGCGTTCTCAGGCACCTGGTAGGATTATTGGGGTGTCCTGTGCAGGGCCAGGAGCTGGATTGATGATCCTTGTGGGGCCCTTCCAACTCAGGATATTCCATGGTTCTGTTCCTCAGCCAGTGACTACTTGACACAGAGGGATTGCTCAGTGTGCATTCACAGCACTATAACTTCATTAATCATAAATATTTCACAGAATGAAAGTCAGGCACTGTTCTCTGCTGTCTCTGTGCATTCACTCATTAATTACCTCACTGCAGTTAACCATCAACAAGTTGTTTGGGTTTTCTTTTGCTTTTTTTTTTATGACCTCCAAGCTTGCCCCGTGAGACCAATTTGCTGTTTGTAATTAATTACTTGTTGCAGCTTGTCAGAGCAATGCCCCTTGTCCTGGGAGAAGCACTTCTGTGCTCCCAGAGCTCTGCAGACACTTCCCTGCTCATTGTGATGCATTTCAAAACCTGGCACAAACACTGATACCGTTTTCCGTCCTGGCAAAATTAGATTTCATGGTCCAGTTGTCAAAGGAATAACGGGAATCCATGCAAAGACCTGCCAGAGTGGGAATTACCTGTGACTGTGGCAGATGACAAGTGTTAATTAGTGTTTTTTTCTGAGGGGACTGTCAGACTGAATGGACCCTTTACCTGTCAGATGGAAGAGAAAACCCTTTTCACTGCTGACAGACTCCATCTCCTCCTTGGGCTGTCAGACTCCCACTTGCAGTCTCATAGGCTACGACCTGAAAGAGAAATCATAAATGAAATAAAAAGCTGGCAATTTAATGTCCCTTTACGAAGACACTGGCAGGGACACGGAACTGAGAGCAGATGTACAAAGGATTAAGCACTTTGCAGCCACAAAGAGGGGCTGAACACGCTGTGCTAAAGCTCCAACTCAACCCCTTGGTAGCCCCAACCTTTCCCAGTCAAACCAGGACAGGAGGGATGGATGGAAAATGAGGTTTTGCCCCCACTGCCAAGCTGATCAGTCAGGGAGGCCCATTTCCACACTTTCCCACACTTCATCCTATTAATGTCCCTCAGCTTTGGCAGCACACCCCCAGTTAGAGCTTTTTAACAGAATATTAGAGTGATTCTGATGGGCTGCAATAATTAGAGTGACCTCTGAGGGTTGCACAGGTAAGGAATGGTCACATTCCTACTCTAACAAGTGTGGGATTCACTCTAGGAATGACTTAAGAACACCTTCTGCATTATGAATTTACAGCTGAGCGTGTTCCCAAATGCATTTTATACTGATGCTAAAGCTTCACCCAGTAAATGGGTTTGATTCCTGCTCTAAGTCCAACTGAACTGGGTCTGGAGGAGCAGAGACTCCACAGAGTCTTGTACAGCAACTTCTTCCCCAATAATAAGAGCTGCAGAAGGGGCAGCAGCAAAAGGCTGCTATCATTTTATTTATATATATCTTTAATTGGTATTAAACATAAAGGGGAAAACTGGACACCAAAGCAATTAAAATATTCATATTAATTTCCTAAATCCTGTTTTCACCTGGATAATTAAAGCTTTAAAAGTGCTGGTTTGACTAAAGGCTTTGCTTTCAAAGCTACTGAGGAGTTTGAAGGGACTCATGAGTTGTCCAAGGAGATTTCCAGCATCTTACAGAAACAAGGTTCAATTTCTCCTCTAATAAAAGTCCCAAGTTTCTGTCTTTGTTTCGTGTAAACCCAACTTGGCGCTCACTGGTACAACAGAGATTTATGCAGTGCATTTATTAGTTAAAATAAATTACTAGGAATTATATCCAGCACTTTCAGAGTCAGTTCAAAACCCTTTTATCCTTTAAAACCAGAGAGAGACCAAGTTGTCCATGCTCATTTTCATTGCAAGAGCCAATGGGAATGGCCAAATGAACTTCCAGTAGAGCTATTTAAGTGTAGTTCCCTGTATAACCTCAATATTAAATTTACTTATATGTGCCTTTATTTACCTGATATTTATCTATAGAAACACCACCAAGAACACACTTCCCAAAATTTCCTTTTGATACGAAGCCAATGGCACCATTTAGCAGTAGTTCAGAATTTAAAAATGCCTTTTTTTTTTTTACCTTTTCAAAATTTCTCCAGATATAATGTCTATGAATATACTGAAGGTTTTAAATTCTGAGTTTCCCACTGGCAAATCCTCAATTTACGCTCCCTTAAACTGGCTCTTCATCACTTGCAATTAGCAAATGAATGAGGTCTGACATTTTTTTCCCTGTTAAATGTTACCTTTGATCACCCTGAGAGAGAATACAGGAATATTCAAATAAAATTGGAGAACTAAAAGCAGTCTTATAATACAAAATTTAAAAGCAGGTATTAAAAAAGGAACATCGTTTTGAGAAAAAAATGACATAGAAGGGAAGTTTTCAGCTTTAAAAGAAGAGTAATTTTGTGAATAAATTGTCAAGAAAATATAAAGAACGGATTTTTGGTTAAAATTGTGAAAATAACTGTAATTAGCATAAATGACTGTGTGAACACCTCCCAGGCACTGACTCAGCATCCTGTACGTTGGAACTACATCACTGAGTGAAACTTTGACCCCTGCATGACCAAAATTCCAGCAGCAGGTGATTCAGAGATAAAAAAAAAACACATCAAACACAAAATTAGAGAGAAAACCCACAGCTGGGAAGTGGCACATCCTTCACCAGTTAATGTTTGAGGTGGACAAAACAATATTCATCAGCAAAGGCAGCAGAGAAACCTCAAACCCACCGAGGACAGGAAGGAACAGAGATAACAAGATGCTCCCTTAACAAGATACCCTTAAATAAAAGGATTTGTCATGGTAATAATAAAAAAAACCTAAGCAGGAATAGATGCAGCTTCAAAGTGGAGCAATTCTTCTCAAGCAAAACGAGATCAAGGCAGGTTTGTAAGGGAAGGCACAAACAACGAGTCTAAATAGCAAAGAGAACAACAAAATGAAAGGAAACAAGGAGATTAGCTTAGGAAAACAATAGAGGAGGAAATAAAACCAGATATAACAATTCTCTGGGGGGGAAAGGGGATAAAATCAGAACAAAAGGAAGCGTCTTTCCCAGCACAAACAAAAGAGGATGGATGGAAGAAAAATATAATTACAAAAAAAAAAGGACTCAAAACACAGAAATATTTGATGGCTTCTAAACAGTCACCCAGTCGATATAATTCCAGGTGAAAAGGTTATTTTTACAGGAATAAAGACAAGAGCACAATGTGTCCCTCTCTTATAAAAGTTACCCACTTCTTGTGCCGTACCCCAAACTTTTCTAAGGGGATTTGAATGCACAGCTTTATTTTCTAAGCACTATTATTTGCTCTTACTTCCCATCAATATCATTACTCACAATTCTTTTGTGTGTGGGTTTGGTTTTTTTTCCCCCTGCTATGGCATTTTGTGAGTCAGCCAACACAAAAGAATTGACAGGCATCACTCAGAAAGAACATTCCAGACCCCACAGAGGGGCAGGCAAACATTCTGTCCTACTCCCAGTAATGATATTACAACAAGAGTGACTTCCTATTTAAGAACAGGTCGTTTCTTTTTGTCTGAAACAATTGTGAGGGTTGGTTTCCTGCTGGGAAAGCCTGAAAGGTAAAATCTAACCTATATTGAAATCAATAGGAGAAAAATAAAAGGGTGAATGGCATTTTTTGTGTTGATTTCAGAGACCTGTGAATCACTTTCCAACACATTAATCATAAAGCAATGCATTAATCACCAGATTTCTTTGCAGTATTAATATGTTTTATGGAAAGTTATACCAGAAGCTTTGCTCCAACATAAAGTTGACCTTCTAAAATAACCTTTGTCCAAAAAAAAAAGGTATTTTTTTTCCCCACTGAAAGAGCAACGTGAAATACGTCTTTATAGGGATTTTCCTGAAGAATCTTTTTGGAAATCTTGACATTTTTGGAATTTTGGAATTAAACTATTCCGACTTTTATATTTCCAACTACTTTGGAAATAGCAAAGCTTTTTATTACTTATTTTCTGTGGGGGTTTTTTTGGGCCAGGAAGCATTTTTTAATGCTGAAGGAAAGGTATATTGTAATAAAATTACAAAATAATAAAATCAGAAACATCAGGAGACAAAATGTCTGCTTTGGGAACTCTCCGAGCAGCTCGTGCCAAACTTGACTGTTGCCTCCAGGCAGATTCTTCTCTGCCAGGGCAATGGAGAAATGGAGATATTGGGGATATTTGGAGATATTTTGGTGCCAAATTCCTTTTACAAGCCAAGCACTTGAATTTCTTTGAGATGTCTGTTCTCAGCAGTGTGAAGGTCTCTCCTCCCTGGATTCAGGAGGGAGGTTCCCCAACCCCTTGATGAGGCTCTCTGACATCTCCTCCACAGCTGGAGGCCCACGGACCATCCCCTCCTGAATTAGGAGAATTGTGAGAATTAGGGCTGTTCACTTTTATTCAGCCACTTATCTTTGTAAGGACAAACCCCACGGATTCACACAGAAATCCTATTTTCAAGCAACTTCTGTC